TACCATTACAAATAAATTCAACAATCTGAACTTTCTCATTAGTGTTTCCCAATTCATTAGAGTTGTGACACTCATAGAAGACAATTGAGGTCAGAATGTGTGAAATATTGCAGTGTCATTTTGTAGGATGAGAGTAATAACACGTAAATATAATATGTCATTATCGAAGTGGAAGTGTGTTTTTAATAGTGAGCTACATAAGGAACATCCATATAATAAAAAAAAATTTATGATTCAGATGTTCGTTGCAATAAGTGTTCATCTACCTCCAGTGTATGCCAATGTGGGAAGATCGGATATATTACAATATCTTAATAGTGAAAAAAATAAAAGAATGGTGCGTGCAAGTGCGTCTTTGAACAGCACATTGATCAAATATTTTAAAAGTGAAAGTTTTTGTGATAAAAATGGCATTAGAAGCTGCCTAAGGAGTGTTTGCTCATTGTACTGTCCAGCACAATCTTTCAGATCCATGGATTGTACTTCCTCCCATATCCAGCGTACTTTAGAAAGAAAATTTGGGTGTGGCCATAGCAAAGCCGAGGCAATTATACTAAAGATTTTAATCCCATTTGCGATTTCTGAATTAAAACAAGCTTAAAGAAAGCAAACTATTTCAATAATGACGAATGCATGAAATTATAAACACACAAAAATATTTACATTGCTTTTCAAGCACTTTAACTCTTCTGAGGGAATTCAAGTTAAAATGCTGGGTGTTACATCTTTGCCTGGAAAAAATTCAGAAACCATTGCAATACTCTTGACTGCATGTGAGAAAAATGTGAACTTAGATGCAAAAACAATAGATTTTTGAGCAGATAACACGAACTGTAATTCTGAAAGTGCATCTAGAAAGGGCATCAAAAAAATCTTAACAAAACTGAAAAGGAATATAGGTCATTACTTATTTGGGGTTGGGTGTGCTGCTCACGTACTTCACAATACTATCCAGGTGTCCTTCTAATGTTCTTCTGATAGACATTCAAGACATTGCTTCTCAAATATATTCATACTTCTATGTCTCTACAGTAGAGGTTTAAAGTCTCAAAGAATTTTGTGAATTTGTGGACCAACATTACAAACCAATTTTAGGATACAGCAAAACTAGATAGCTGGTATTTCTCCCCATGATCGAACATCTCCCACTGAAGCCATATTTTGAATCTCAAAATAAATGACCAATTATTATTAAGTATTTTTTGAAACTTCTCTTTCAAAAGCATGGTGGTATTTTTTTGCACAACCAAGCACCAATTTTCACTTAACAATTCAGAGTATATGGGCAAATAATAACAGTTTTTAATTTCTGTGTTAAATGATTTAAAGCAATAGCTCTTTGTGCAGATAATATGAACTGTAATTTTTGGAGGTGTATCTAGAAAAGGCTTCAACAAAGTCTTCACAAAACTGAAATGAAGTATAGGACACAACTTAGTTGGTGTGGGTTATTCCGCTCACGTACTTCACAATACTATTTAGGTGGCTTCTTATGTTCTTCTTGTAGATGTTGAAGGCATTGTTTCTAAAATATATTCATACTTCTATGTCTGTACAGTAAGGGTAGAAAGTCTCAAAGAATTTGTGGACCAAGAGTATAAGTAAGTTTTAGGGTACAGCTAAATCAGATTTCTTGTTTACTCCTTCCAATAGAACGTCTTCTATGTAAGTCTTCTTCTGAAGTCATATTTTGAATTTCGAAATAAATGCTTAATTATTATTAAGTCATTTTTTGAAACTCCTCTAACAGAAGCATGGCGGTATTTTTTTGCACTTCCATGCACCAATTTTTCACTTAACAGTTCAAAAAGTACATGGTCAAATAATGCCAGTTTTTAATTTCTGTGTTGAATGATTTAAAGCAATAGCACTTTATGCAGATAACATAAACTGTAATTTTGGAGGTGTATCTAGAAAAGGCGTCAACAAAGTCTTCAAAAAACTAAATTGAAATTTAAGACTTATTTGGGGTTGGGTGTTCCACTCACGTACTTCACAATACTATCCTGGTGGCTGCTGATGTTCTTCTCATACACACTGAAGACATTGTTTCTAAAATATATTCATACAACTATGTCTGTACAGTAATGGTTGAAAGTTTCAAAGAATTTTGTGAATTTGTGGACCAAAAGTACCAGCAAGTTTTATGGTACAGGAAAACCAGATGGCTTGCTTTACTCCCTGCAATCATTTGTCTTCTATGTTTATCTCCCTGAAGTCATGTTTTGAATTTCAAAATAAGTGCCCAATTATTAACAAGTCATTTTTTGAATCTCCTCTATCAGAAGCATGGCAGTATTTTTTTGCCCAATCAAGCATCAATTTTTCACTTATTAGTTCTGAGAGTACATGGGCAAATAATTAAATTTTTTAATTTCTGTGTTAAATGATGTAAAGCAATAGCTCTTTGTGCTGATAATATGAACTGAAATTTTGGAGCTATACATACAAAAAGCATCAACATTATCTTCACAAAACTGAAATGAAATTTAGGCCGTAATGTATTCGGGGTTGGGTGTTCCTCTTACATACTTCACAATACTATCTAGGTGGCTTCTTATGTTCTTCTTGTAGACATTGAAGGCATTGTTTCTCAAATATATTCATACTTCTATGTCTGTACAGTATGGGTAGAATCTCTCAAAGAAATTTAAGAATTTGTGGACCAAGAGTACAAGCAAGTTTTAGGGTACAACAAAATCAGATTTCTTGTTTACTCCTTCCAATAGAACATCTTCTATGTAAGTCTTCTTCTGAAGTCATATTTTGAATCTCAAAATAAACGCCTAATTATTATTAAGTCATTTTTTGAAATTCCACTATCAGAAGCATGGTGGTATTTTTTTGCACAATCAAGCATCAATTTTTCACTTAACAGTTCAAAGAGTGAAATAATTACAGTTTTTTAGGTAATTTCTGTTTTAAATGATTTAAATTTTAAATGATTTAAAAGTTAATTTAATTTCCTAAGTTGAAGATTGCTTCAAAACATCTGTTGTCAGGTCTGTTCTTAGTAAATTGGAAAAGGAGTTTTTTTTCCCATCAGAGGTTGAAAAATTTAAACAGCATGTCTATACATTTTACCAAATTGTAGCTGAATATTTCAACAAATGGATTGCACCCATTGATAACTTGCGAGGGTACAGTTGGGTAATACTTGAGGCAGGGATACCTCACTGGAAGAATATCGAAAGGACTTAAGATTTCTTTCACAATGTGGCTCCTTTATCGAAAATAGATAGTACTAGCCTGTATGATGAGTATGTGTACATTAAATGAATGTGTACATTAAACAATACATATCTCTGGAAATAATGGAAAAATGGAAGCTGGAAAGAATATCACCTAACGATTGCTGAGTAGATATTATTTCACATTTTAATGTGAACAATATGCCATATTCAAATTTTTTGAGAATATTGGAATTTCTTCTTGGTATTTACCTGGAACTAAGTCCCCATCGAAAGAGAATGTTTTATACATTAATGATGAGTGGACAAATGACAAAAGCACTCTTTCAGTACAAACTTTGAAGGCTATTGTGAAGGTGAACTTTAATCAGACTAGTGCAAACTTCTACAAAATGATTAGTGATAAAAAAGACTTACTGAAGAAAATCCGTTCTTCAGAAAAATATCAATAAATGCTGCACTAGTACAGCATGTAACTTACACACATTTATTTATTTATTTGCTAATCACAAATATCCATACTTAAGTATATAATATTATTTAATGTCCTGTTATCATTGACATAAAAATTAAAATGTCCCGTTTTTAGGTTTTAAAAATATGGGAATCATGATCTACTTGCAATACTTTTAAAGAATATCAATTCTTTCAAAAGCAAAATATGTTGTAAGCAAAAAAAATTATTGTAAGAAAAATATATTGAAATGAATATAATTTTATAATGTCAAGAAGTGTTAGAATGTTTTCATTTTCAAACACCAAACTCAAAACTATTTTAGAAATCAATTAATACAAATATAATTTTACCTAATATTTTTATTGAGTTCATGTCTAAGTGTCCTCAAGCTGGCCTTCTCAGTTCCACAGGCAGTAACTATGTAAAAACTTTTGTGGTTGTGGTTGATCATCTGCTTTCAATTCCACAACAATTATTCATTGGAAAAAAGAACTCTTGACACACTCAGATAATGACGAAAATTCCTAAGTGGCGGCGCTGTGACTCCATTATAAGAAACTTGCAGGTTTTCTCTGTAGGAACAGGCTAGCACAGCAGGCACTTAAACTAGAAACAATGGAAGGGATACAGCAAGAATGCTGTCAATAATGCTTTTTAATGTCAAAATCTTCAAATTACACTATGGGTCAAGGGAGATCTTTTCGTTCACATTGTGACAATCTCTATGACAAAAAACAACCAAACACTAATTTCTATAGAAGCAAATCAAGGCAATAAATCTATAAACAATTGTAGGGAATTTGGAGAATATCAAATATACAAAAGTTCCTTAAATAAAAGATAATTACTCGGATGAGTAATATTTAAAATTATATAGACAACCCGATAATTCTTGAAATCCATTCAAAATATTCTTTTAAGAGAGAGAATTTTGTAGTTTTTGAAAAGGGAACATAGCTTAAGGTAATGATGTAGTCATGTGAATCACCCCTATTGCAACTACAGTAATAATGCTATAATATAAGTAGAACTATTCTATTATAGAGTAATTACAATTGTGTGGGTTTCACTCAGGTGTATAGATATAGGAGAGGGGGTAAATCAGCACAAGCGGAACCTCAATAAACCTCCTCATTCCAAAAGTAGTGGCGAACGAATGTTGCTAAAGATACTAGCCAGTGAATGATGTTAAGAAATTCTGAATGATTCCTGGATACTTCGAAAATCTCTTGGAGTTCAAATCAGCATGTTGTATCAGGAAAATAGTCTTTGAAATTGAATTTGCAAAGTAAACTTAAAATGGGCCCAAAAGATAATATTCTCAATTTTATCCGGTAATTTTTCTTTTTAATTTAGGCTACAATTTTGCAAACATAGTGTCCATTTTTTTAGCAATAATATCAATATTAATAATAATTAGAAAACTTAAAAATATTGGCAAATTAATTACCTAAATTTTAGAAATATTTAAAGGAAAATATGGATATATATCTACGGTAAAATATTCAATATTTTTTATACCAATTTGAAACCCCACATAAAACTACTATTGCGTGCTAATTTTACTCATATGCATATCAACCGAAGACGCACATCCAAACACTGTATCTTGATAATATGAAATACTCAATTGCTTCTAAAACGAGGCAACAATATTGACGAATAATACTTTCTTGCATTGGATGAAGCTACGTGATACCAGTCTGTGGATTACGCGACGGTAATTTCAGCAAATACCACAGTACAATTTGAGACTCAAAATTGAGACAGACATTCATTAACTCAAAAGGGTTTGTTACAGAAATACAAAATTCAATTGAATTTCCATTTTGAACTTTGAAATCCATCACTAATAATTTTTGCTGTAACAATGATTTAATATTCTCAGTTTTGAGTATTTTGTAGCTGCCAGTTGAAAATTTAATTGTATTTTCAATTAAGGGTAAAATTCATTTTACAATGTTCAGTGTCTTCATTTACAAAATAATTAAAATAATATATTAAAAATTATAGTGATGATGGTAAAGAAGAATGAAGAAGAAAAAGAAAAAAAGAGGGGAGAATATGAAAAAGAAGAAGAAGAATAGAAAGAAGAAGAAAGGGGAAAGGAAGAGACGAAGGAGGAGGAAAGAATGGAAGAAGGAAGGAAAAGAGATCGAGGAGGAAAACTGAGGTAAAACAGTGTAGGAAAATACTAATATTTCTAGATTATAATACTGAGGAAGTTCAGTAGTCTATCTCTGGTAAAAAAAAACACTAGATGCATTATATCGCTCTATGTTGTAATACTGAGAAGCATACGCTGTGAACACATCCACAATAACATCTTCGACTTCAGGTACAGCCATGTGATACAGATTCAGATGTAGGCATGCAAGGGCCCACCCAACCAAAAAAATCTAGGGCCCAGATCACAGCAGGTAGGGTATCATGAAAGAAACTACTGTCTGCCCAAGTTTTTTTTGCGCCCTTGTATTGCTAATTCCAGAAAAGTGGAGGATTAAGATACCGTATCGAGAGCCTAGTTCCAAAATGCAACAACGAAAATTCTAAAATTTGTAACAATGCCTCTTGAGCTGGACTGTCAAAATATCTTATTTTGTTGTTGACTGCTGTTCCTATAACAATTCTGGATAATCAAATCTGTTTCTCATTTGCTATGTTCTCTATAACTGGTGCTACATTCCTGGTCATGAAATGCAATAAACACCACACATTTTCTTTTACTCATTATTCAACTGTTCACTGTCAAAGAGGAGGGTATGAATTCCGGAACTGAAGAAAACGTTAATAATTTTGTGGTCTGTAGCAATCTATTAAGGCAAATTTATTGCAGCCTTTGTACATTTCATCTGAAAAATATAATTAAGTAGAATAATTGGAAAAGGTTTTGATGGTTATAATTACCCAAGTCTAAAAGGAAAATGTTAGGCCATTCGGATGAAAAAAATCAAATTTGTTTTTGTTTCTTTACTATGTCTTCAAACCTCTGTAACATACCCAATAATACATATTATGAACTATTTTGTCTACCAAGACCCTGGTGGTTTTATGGTTTCATGGGATATGACCAATTTTCATCAAATATCCACCATAGATTTCCAATACCCATGTTCCAGAAAGTTTCTAAAAGGAATAAAACTCCCATAATCTTACATTTCTTATGACAGTTGGCAATATTATAATAGCCTGTTTACTGGGCTCTCAGAATCCAAATTTATTTAAAAAATGTTTTCATTGTCGCACTCAAGAATCATTTGAAGTAGAGGTAAATACTCTGTTGTGATCGCATTGAATATCTAAGTGTGCAGTATATTGCTCAGCGACGAATCCAGGGAGGAAAAATCAGGGGGGCCATCCCCCATGAAAATCCAACTCTATTATACTTTTACTAAATCTCTTGAAAAAATATGATCACACATTGATCACATCATATTCCAAAGAATTATTTACATTATCAACACTTTTTTTTAAATATCAAGCTAACAATTTGATTTTGTTATTTATTCCAACTTATCAATGTGAGAGGATTGAAAAAAATTACTCCCTCTCCCATGAAATATGTTTTGTATCTGAATTTAATGATAATGTAGTTACATTCCACAATACCACTTTAGACAAATTATTTGTTTCAAAGAAATATTTATTCGTTCATCTCTAAAACTTCAACACATTCAAACGACTTTTTTGCTCACAATATGACACATTTACTGAGTTTGTTTTAACTTCCTCCTTTCAAAATTGTTATATTCTTTGATAAAGAATGTAAAACATCCATTCATGTCAAGAAAACATCATGCAAGCCATTCCTTCATCAGCATGCCACCTCAGAACATTATACAGTGGTTTAAACATAACTATAAACCATAACAAAGTACGTAGTATTTTCATAATTGAGGATTACCTTTCTCATTGGTGAGATAAGTGCTTGAAATCTATTTATGTATAATCTAGCACCTATTATATTCCCTTTTTAATACTTACATTATATATGTCATATCTACTAATTCTGAGGATTCACATTTGCACATAATATTAAAAGTTTCCTTTCAGAGTAGCCATATACATGCTGTACAGAAGAAAAAACAACTAATGGGATGACATCAGCCAGTTCATATTATGAGGTGAAGGACACAAGACTCAGAACTACCCACTGTCATGCGGAATGGCTAAAATAAATTCCTAGTAATATACCAACATCACTTCTCAATTATATAAACTGCCATGATTTTCAAAATTGGTTCTATTCATGAAGAAATCATTATAAAAACCTAATACTATAATATAGGTAACCTGATACTACACCATATAAAAATAAAGCATAACATTTAATTTTCAAATACTGTGCAGACAGTGCTAGCAATAAGCATGGGCAGACCGGGCAATCACCAAGACCTCACAAATCAAGAGGCCCAATGATGGAATTGATGGGGAAAAATTACTAAACAATTGAAAAAGAAATTAGAAGTCGAGGAAATCGTCGTCATAATTTTGAAAGGTGCTGTACAGCAGTCTGATATTTCATAAAATTTTCCAATTAATTTTTTACTTTACGTACTTAATTATAGTAATTACTTGTAAAGTACGACGCTATGAAATGAATGAAAGAACGCTAATGTTAAAATAGGTTTTACTGAAATTCATGTTTATTATTTATCATGTATTTAACGAGTGATTTTATTAAACATTAACTAGACACAACAAATTTTTTTAAGCTTTTTTAAGCTCACAGTGGAAATTGTATTATTTGATTACAAAATACTTTTACTTAAAACTACTATTTAAAATATATTTCCAAACACTTCTTCTAGCTTAAATGTAACTTTTGTTGAAATAAAATAATGCAGGGGGCTGTGTTTCGGCATTGCTCCGGACCCAACATTGTCTAACTCCCACACTGTGTACAGTAACCAAAGGTCTACATAATTACATGTAGGGTTTTATAATAGTTTAGAATTTCTACTCATTATATTATTTTTTTTTTTTTTTTTTTTTTGATTTTGCATCAAAGAAATACCAAGTCTGCATATGCTACAATGTTTCTTAAACAAGAATTTTTAAAGATCAGATGTAAAACAAAACAAAAATAATTAATACCAGTTGTTACAATTGTTCCAGTACCTTTCCCTACTCAAAGAGTCATACTTGCTTTCTATACACATTTTATTAGTCTTCAGACTGCAATTCATTTGATGCATATAGATTTTTATACTTATTTTATGTTATCTATATCACATTTTGGCATTCTTTGAATTTTAAACTTTCGATTGAATTTTAAAATAAGAAAACAACATATTTTATGCCTATGTATGTTGTAATGATGTGTGCACAGAATAGATGTTTCAATGTTATTCGTTTGAACAACAGACTGTCAATCATTAATAAAATAATCAACGTTATTGTCTGAAAAGAGCACTACAATTTTTATAACAAATAATTTATGCTTTTTCCAAGTAAATGTATATATAATACAGACGTTTTAACACAACACTTGTAATTATATGTGAAATGGCCCATTTACTTGAGTAGTTCTGAGCAGTTTTGCAAATGAAAACTTTTAAACATAGAGCATCAATTACTAGTCTCTGGTGAAAATCAAATTTATTTTGCTTCTGTGTGCCCTGCATCAACTGTTAATTGCTATTTTGCTTCTGTGAGCTGATCAGATAATTTGATTGACCCCTATGAAACATTACACATTCTTCAGTAGAGAGTGACATTTGGATCTTTAAAATACTCTGAAGATAATTATAATTATGATGATACTATTCTGAGAAGTATTTTAACATATACACAAATTGCCAACTAAAGATAATGCTAGTCTTCTTGCAATTCAATTTTAATCCACACAAATCATAAAACTGTTCATTTCTGTGCTTTGTTGTGGGCACATAATTTTCAAGACAACTTAATAACAACTTTTCATGTTCAATGAACCAAATGTGGATATTTGAGGGGAGAAAGGATGGAAGTAAAGTGGATAAACATGGTCAATCAACTACATGCAATGGCAAAGTTCTATCATCCTATTATTCTTCAAACAATACTCTATAAATTCTACATATTCAATTTTCGTTTTGTTAGAACTTCTCTACGTTTCCTTCACAGATGTATAGCATCTAAAGAAGGCAGTTTGGGGTTTTCTAAATAAAATAAATAATAGCAGTTACTAGCTAATTCTAAATAACTAGCAGTTACAATTTGTTAAACACAAGAATAAAATATTAAGAAATTTCAATGAAAAAGATGTAAAGACCAGAAATGATGTGACTATTTCAGGAGTGTGGATGAAAATATGCTTGTATTTGTTGTTATTATGTAATAACATCCAGTTTATATCAGGGCACAGAGAATTACTGTAATTAAAAATTCAGTTTCGTGAGAATGAGCTTGAAGATTGATCAATTGCAATTATTGTGAGAAGTAATTTTCTCTGAAAACCTTTTGGATTTAGGTTGTGTTCAGAACCTTCCATTTAAATATGTTCTTTGACACAACTGGTGCACAGACCTTTTGATGAGATGAAAAAGACAGATGAATTGCAAATGTTGAGTGCAGTGATCCCAGGGGCTTTTGAGAATTTGCACTGCACTAGTAACATCTGCAACAAAAATAACCAAAAAAAAAAAGAATTAACATGGTAACACACTTTTGCTGTAGATTCAAATTGGGTTCAATTTTTATCAATAGTGATTTTTATTCATGCTTCAATCAGGGACTGATGTTAATAACCTAAGATCCCCTAAGCAAGAAATAGGCCTCTTTCTGATAATTAAGCAAAATACAACCATTAATCTTATTTCTCATTCAGTTAATGTATTTGGTCTTTCCTAGAGCTTCAGTAAACTGTTCAATGTACGCAATAACTTGAGAGAATCTTTGAGGATATTTCTATTCTGTTTCACAAACCATTTTTTAAATATTCTATCTAGAATTGCTCTATAAAATGGAAAAACCTTACACTCTACAAAACGTAACAGAATGAATTTAAGTGCAATACAAAATGAACAAAACAAGTAACACAAGCAACATCTATCATCAAAATTTCTACAAATTTGAGTTTATTTTAGACTATTTATTTTGTTACAAAAATTAAAATTTTTAATGCCTAATTTCCTCAATACATAGTTTATCCCTTTTCTGGAACCCCATCTCTTTGCTTCCAAGGTTGCAGAAATATGCAGCTGCCAAATTACTAGTAGTAGGGGTAACACTAAGAAGTACGCCAAAAGAAGATGTCAACAGCAGCATTGTTGAAAAAAAATAAGAAGAAAGAAGGAAGGAAGAAGAAAGAAAGAAGGAAGGAAGGAAGGAAGGAAGGAAGAAACAAGAAAAAAGAAGAAAAAAGAAACAAGAAAAAAGAAGAAGAAAAAAGAAGAAGAAAAAAGAAAAAAGAAAAAAGAAGAAGAAAAAAGAAAAAAGAAAAAAGAAGAAAAAAGAAAAAAGAAGAAGAAAAAAGTAAAAAGAAAAAAGAAGAAGAAAAAAGAAAAAAGAAGAAGAAAAAAGAAAAAAGAAGAAGAAAAAAGTAAAAAGAAAAAAGAAGAAGAAGAAAAAAGAAGAAGAAAAAAAAGAAAAAAGAAGAAGAAGAAAAAAGAAAAAAGAAGAAGAAGAAAAAAGAAAAAAGAAGAAGAAAAAAGAAAAAAGAAGAAGAAAAAAGAAAAAAGAAGA